CACGACGTGGCTCAGCACCTCCAGACGCAGCACCTCGAGTAGTACCAACCCCAGCAGCACCTGAGACGCTAGTGACCTCGACAGGCTCAGCGAAGGGGGGCGGGTCTACCTGAGACACGCCTGAAGGAGCAGGACACTGGGGGGGAAGGGGGTCTACCGGAGGGGGACTTGGAGCAAGGAAGAGAGGCGGGGGAGGGAGAGGAGCAGTGCGGTAGGGAAAGAGGCGGTAGAAAGGGACTGACTCGTCAAAGGTGACGTCCTGAGAAGACAGGACTGTGCGCGAGGCCGGGTGGTAAAACTGCCAGCCAGGTGCGTCAGTCGAAAGCCGAGGAAGACACAGGGAAGGGTGCGGGAGGAGAGCTTGTGTGCGGACGTATCGCGAACAAGAGCACGGGCACCCCAGACTTGGAACACCGATGCATCTCCAACCTCTCCCGTCCACCGCAGTGTGGGCGAAGTCTCCGGAACGTAGACACGGGGCCAGAGGTTGAGCTGCTGTGCGGCGTACCTGACCGCAAACGGCCACAGAAAATGGGGAGCCGCCGCATGGATCAAGGAGGTACGAGCGATCTCTATGACCAGGCCAATGCGGCGCTCAGCAACCCCATTTTGCTGCGGTGAGCCCGGAAGCGTGTAAGACTGGGTGATGCCCTCCTCGAGACAGAAGCCACGCAAGAGGTCGGAGGCAAACTCTCCGCCCCTGTCAGAGTGCAGACGCAGAACAGGGAGGTCGGTATGAAACCTCCTGCGCAGCTGAAGACGAACCGCTCGGATCCAAGGGATCAGGATAGCAGGGACCTCACCCTTGGTGCACAAGGGGAAGACCGTGGTGTAGCGCGAGTAGTCATCAACGACCAGCAGGAAGTACCGCTCTCCACCCCGTCTGCTGACACGGGCGAGGCCCCACACGTCCATGTGGAGAGTCTGCAGCGGAGCCTCTGTCGGAGGAAACGAGGAGGAGTGAGGAGCGGCGCGCTGCCGCCCCTCGACGCAAGGAAGGGAGGCAGGGGCAGGCGAAGCAGGGAGGGGAGGCAAGGTCCAGGGAAGACCAGACAGAAGGACGCGACGGTGCGTGTCGCGAAGACGGGGTAGGGAGGGGTGGCCCAGACGGTGGTGCCAGAGAATGGTGTGGTGTGACAGGGAGCGACACGAGCAAGGGGAGTCTAGCTGACCTGACGTGGACACCTGACCAACAACAGCGACCTGGGGAGACACAGTGGTCAGTGTGTAAAGGCTCGACCCTGGCGCACGCGTGAACGTGGCCAGGTGTTGCCCAGTCCTGGAGCACGTACAGATCGCCACACGCTGTCCTCCAGGGGTGAAGGTATCAACCCAGTGGTCCTGAAGGACAGCGTTGCTCACCAAGTTCGTAGAGAACGAGGGGAGGTGGAGACCTGACAGCGATCCAGACGGGACCGCTGGGCAAGGAAGCACAGTGGTAGACCGTGCAAGGACTGGACCCCCCGAGGGGTCAGCCAGGGAGACTGCAACAGGTGCAGGGAGTGGTGTGAGGGCTGTGCTGTCATGGAAGAAACACCTACAAGCACCTGAGTCAAGAGTGAAGGTGTGCAATGCAGTAGGAGGCGCAGTACCTGACAGTGCAGACTCACCCGCACCTAAGGCAGCAGAAGCGGTACCTGAAAGCACAGACTCACAAGCACCAAGAGCTACTGGCTCTATACCTGGATCAGGCAGCAGACACAAGTAGCAGTCACCCTCAGCACTAATAGACAATGCATACATGGCAGCAAGAATAGCATCATAGTCAAGAGCAAAGATGTCTATACCCTTCTTAAGCAGATCAAACCAGCGAGGGGTCTCAACCTCTGCAACCATCTCGTCAAGGCGGGAGAAGCAACGCTGCTGGGGGTGGGGCCTGCCGCATGTCTGACCAGCACGCTCACCGGTGCGAATGACATACGGACAATGAGTACCCCTAGACGTACCCCTCTGAGCCAACCACTCACGAAGCTGCTGAGGCGTAAGGGACCGCTGCTGCTGCTGTCGCTGACCAGTGCCTCCACCACGACCGCTACCACCTCCACTGCCTCCACCACTGCCGCTACCGCCACCACCGCCACTCCCACCGCCGCCGCCACCACCACCACCTCTACCATCGCCGCTGCCACTCCCACCAGTACTCCCGGCGCCACTGCCTCCACTCCCACCGCCACCCCCACCTCCTCCACCTCCTCCTCCGCCGCCACCTCCACCACCGCCCTTGCCCCCCTTGCCCTTGCCGGTGCGGCGCCGCCCGGTAGAAGTAGAGGTAGCACCAACTGAGTCGGCTCCAAGGAAGTCTACAGCGGCAGAAGTGGCGTAGGACGGGGCAAGAGGGGAAGAAGCGCACCCCTCAAAGATGGGGGTACGAGGAGCGCCACGAGCAGCAACCACACTCACAATGCTGCTCTCAGCGGCTAAGAGGTGCTCCTCTAGGAGGTCTATGGTGAGGTTGGAGGGACAGCGCGCTAGGAAGTGGTCCCTGACTGAGCGAAGGGTGTCAGGGAGGCGGGTCACTATAAAGTGGAGCGTCCAGTACATCGGAGGGGGGTGCTGAGCAACAAACTCCTTGCGGAGTGTGGCACGGACACGAGCGTCACTAGAGCGAAGGTGGGTGATGAGGTCGGCTACAGTGGCAAAGCTCGACAACTCGGGGAACAGGTACGGCAGCATGAGATGGCTGAGCGCAGCAGTGGCAGGGGAGGAGTAGCGAGCGACTACAGCGTCGTACAGGGCCTTAGCGGTTTTGTGCTCGCCAAAGTGCTTGAGTTCCGCTAGCGGCAAGTGGTTGCGAATAGCTAGGCGGGCAGCAGCATTGCGCGTCAGCCATTGAGAGCGCTTGCTAAGGGCAGCTGTGTCAGCAGGAGCGGCTAGGGCACCAGAGGTGTGGTCAAAGAGGGAGATCTCGTCTTTGCTGGTGCTAATGAGGAAGAGCTGCAAGTCATCGAGCCAGGCGTCAAACTCTACAGGGCGGCCCTCAGTGTCGAAGGAAAGAACCCGAAGGGTGGCCATAGCGTGAGGCGGTGACGAGCAGCAGGGCGTGCGGGCGGCGCTGCAGAGCGCGGGCAGCACTGTAGGGCGCGGGCGGCTCAACAAGGCGCGGGCGGCGCAGCAGGGCACGGGCGGCTCAGTAGGGCGCGGGCGGCTCGGCAGGGCGGGGCCGGCGAGGCAGGGTGCGCGGCGGCGCGACGCGCAGGCAGGGCAGGGCGCGCAGCGGAGCGGCGCGCAGGCAGGGCAGGGCACACGGCGGGCCGGCGCACAGGTAGGGCAGGGCACGCGGCGGGCCGGTGCGTAGGCAGGGCAGGGCGCGCGGCGGTGCGATGCGCAGGCAGAGCAGGGCGCGCGGCGGCGCGGCGCGCAGGCAGGGCAGGGCACGCGGCGGCGCGGCGCGCAGGCAGAGCAGGGCGCGCGGCAGCGCGGCGCGCAGGCAGGGCAGGGCGCGTGGCGGCGCGGCGCGCAGGCAGGGCAGGGCGCGCGGCGGCGCGGCGCGCAGGCAGGGCAGGGCGCGCAGCGGCGCGGCGCGCAGGCAGGGCAGGGCGCGCTGCGGCGCGGCGCGCAGGCAGGGCAGGGCGCGCGGCGTCGCGGTGCGCAGGCAAGGCAGGGCGCGCGGCGGCGCGGCGCGCAGGCTGGGCAGGGCGCGCGGCGGCGCGGCGCGCAGGCAGGGCAGGGCGCGCGACTCAGCAAGGCGCGCTGCAGCAGGTGGCGCGATCACAGTGGCGCGACGTGTGGGGTAGCGCTACTGGTGGGCCCTAAGAAATCGGTCCTAGGCTAGGACCTGCTCTGATACCATGTCAAGAGAATGAACAGGAATGGAATGAACTATGAAAGAGATGGGTACACATATGAAACCCTAGAAGGGGCTGTACCCCATATTGGCTACCCCACTACAGCCTAAACATATATGGCATACATACAATTTGACACGAAGTGCGCATTGCGCCCTGCCCGAAATGCGCCTTATGCCCTGCCCTAGTGCGGCCCGTCGCGGCCCTGCCCTGTTCGCCGCCCGTCGCGCACCCCACCCCCCCCCCTCTTTGTCGCCCGTCACGGGACCTGCTGGACGTGGCCCCCACCTGCTGTCGCGGCCCTCGCCCATTGCACCCCCTGCCTGGCGGCCCCTGCCGTCGCCGCCCCTGCTATCGCGGCCCCTGCTATCGCGGCCCCTGCTGTCGCGGCCCCTGCCGTCGCCGCCCCTGCTGGCGCGGCCCCTTCTGTCGCGGCCCCCTGCTGACGCGGCCCCTGCTTTCGCGGCCCCCTACTGTCGCGGCCCCTGCCGTCGCCGCCTCTGGTGTCGCGGCCCTTGCCGTCGCCTCCCCTGCTGGCGCGGCCCCTTGTGTGGCGGCCCCCTGCTGACGCGGCCCCTGCTGTCGCGGCCCCCTACTGTCGCGGCCCCTGCCGTCGCCCCTACTGGCGCGGCCCCTTCTGTCGCGGCCCGTGCTGACGTGGCCCCTGCGATCAGTCGAGCTCCTTGGTCGACGACAACGCCACGTTGATTCCATGCAGCTCGACGAAGCTTGTCGAGCAGCTCCCTCACTGCGAACGGTCGGTTGCTTCTCCCATACATCCGACCAAGTCGTCGGCGTTGCCCAAGCGAGGGCGGGGCCAACACTCCATTCTCTTCAACATCAGCATCGCCCACTGCAGATGGTTGGTTGCGCCTCCCGCGCACCCTGAGAAAGTACGAACGAGAAGTGGAATGACTATGAACGAAGTGAGTACAAATAGGAAACCCTAATTGGGTTGTACCCCCTATGGGATACCCCACTATAGCCTACAGAAACAAGTAAGCTATAAGTTCTGACACACCCCCATAGGCAAAGTGGGGGAGAACAAGGGGTCACAAGACCGGTCAAGCAAAGCAAAGCAAAGCTCAGGGTGGATCACAAAGTCACCACGCATTCCGAGCACAAGTTCAAAGGCCACAAGGCCAGTTCACATGCAAGATCATATATAGAGATATACAAGAGCAAGAGTATATATATGCGAAAGTACAAGCAAGGTCAAGAGGAGAGCAAGTGAGGCAAGACAGGCACAAGACCCAACTGCGTGCAGCAACGCTGATGATCACAAGGCGCAAATGCCTTGGTGAAGACATCAGCAGTGTTGGCCTCAGAGGCCACGTACGCAAGTCGCAGCTGTCCACGCTGCTGTAGCTCACGAGCAAGAAAGTAGCGAAGAGCAATGTGCTTCGTTCTGTGCTCCAGTCGCTGCTCTCGACACAAGGCCAGCATGGCCTTGTTGTCTACGTACAGGACTGGAGGAGAACGAGGCTGCTCTCCAAGGTCGGTCAGCAGGTAGGTGAGCCAGCGTAACTCCTGTGCAGCCATAGCCCCAGCGTAGATCTCAGCCTCACAACTGGAGCCGAGAACAGAAGACGAGCGGGTAGCCCGCCACGAGACAGAGCCGGAACCAAGGCTGAAGGTGTAACCCTGTGACGACCGCTGCGTAGCCTGGTCGTCAGCCCAAGAAGCGTCTGCGTGCCCAGTGAGGACCACTGGACTGCGCCCTCCAAGCACTAGCCCCATGCCCGACGTACTGCACAAGTAGCGCAACACCCTCTTCGCTGCAGCCATGTGCTCTGGTCGGTGTCTCCCAGGAGCAACAAAGCGTGCGAGAATGCTAAGAGGGTATGCGAGGTCAGGTCGTGTGCAGGTCATCAGGTACATGAGGCAGCCAACAAGCTCTGGGTACGGGCCACTCGACTCTACGGACTCATCCGAAGGCAGAGCTGAGAGCGAGTGGCGAGTAGGCAGAGGAGTGGCCTGAGGCGAGGAGTACGTGAAGCCGAAGCGCTGAAGGACCTGCTGCACCATGTGTGACTGAGTCAGGGTAATGGTGCGGCGTGCTCTGTCCCGGGTGATCTGCAAGCCAAGGTAGCTGCGCAGTTCACCCAGGTCAGTGCACGTGTGTCTCTTCTGCAGCTCGGACTAAACGTAGGCGAGTCCAGCAGTGTCAGCTATGGCAAAGACCAAGTCGTCGACGTACACGAGGATGTAGAACGGCGGCAGAGAGGTGTCGGTGCGCAGAAACAGCGACGGGTCGGCAGTGGAAGGAGCAAACCCAAGTGCCGCGAGCGTAGTCCTCAGTGTGTCGTGCCACTCACGTGGCGCCTGGCGGAGACCGTAGACTGGACGCCGGAGACTCCACTGGGTACCAGGAGGGAAAGACCCAGTGAAGCCAGGTGGGCGACGCAGCCAGATCTCCTCGTGCAGGCTGCCCTGCAAGAAAGCTGTGCTGAAGTCGAGAGAGTGAAGCTCGTAGTCACGGTGAGCAGCAACGTGTAGCAGAACCCGAAGAGTGGTCATCTTCGGGGTGGGGGAGAAGGTCTGAAAGTAGTCAACCCCCTGCCGCTGACTGAAGCCACGAGCCACGTAACGCGCCTTGAAGACAGGCGGAGAACCCGGCGGCCGCTTTACCCTGAAAATCCACATGCCACTGACGATGTTTGCCCCAGGAGGGGGAACAGCGTCAACGTAGGTGCCTGTGGACTTCCAGGAAGCCATCTCTGCATCCATAGCTGCCTGCCACTGAGAGGAGTAGGGACCCTCTATCGCCTCCGCGTAAGAGCGCGGAGTCGGGATGTCTGGTGCATCCGGGTCTCCCTCAGGGGCTAGCAGTACAGACGCGAGACGAGGTGAAGCGGCGGCCAGACACTGGAACTCCTCCTGCCTGTCCTCAAGGACGTCCGTGCCAAGGGCACACTCACCCCCGACGGACGGAGGACAGGCGGACTCAGACTCAGTGACAAGACGAGCAGCGTAGTCTAGACGACAGCGCGCAGCAAAGTCGACAAGCTCAGTGACAAGGGCAGACGCAGCAGACGACTCGAAGGAGGGGTCAGTGACAGCAGTAGCCAGGAGACGCGTGACAGTAGGACTGGCAGCACGAAGAGCGTCCGACTCCGGGTCGGCAAGAGCAGGAAGAGAGGAAGCAGGAGGAGAAGGCAAAGGGGCACGCAGAGGAGCAGTGGACGGACGCAGTGACATCCGGTGCGTGCCAGGGACAGGAGGAGGACGCTGACGCGACCCGCGACCACTAGCGCGCTCAGTACGAACAGGCGACACAGGACGAGACGCAGGCTCACGACGCTTAGTAAGACCTCCAGTCGGACCAGCGTAGGGAGAAGGAGCAGGCAAAGGGGAGGCAGGCTGTAGCTGTGGCTGTGACCGGACAGGCTGCGGACCCTCTAAGGGAGGAGGAGGAGGTGTAAGACCAAGAACCTGCTGCAGGAGCGGAACGAAGTACGGTCGGGGCCGCGCGGCGACGCTAGAAACAGCAGGAACAGCACCAGCAGCCCCGGCAGGAGCACCCACTCCAGCAGCACCTCCAGCAGCACCAGAACCTCCAGCCGCAACACCAGGAGCACTGTCAGTCGGGCCGCCAACGGCAGGCTCAGCGCCAACACCCTCAGCAGGACCAGCTCCAGGAGAACTCTCAGACTCAGCAGCTCCAGCACCCACAGTACGAGCACCGGCGGGGCGCGCAGCAGCAGTGCCCTCTGCAGTCGAAGAACCACCAGCACCAGCAGCACGCCTCCAGCGCCCGGCAAACCACTCACGCAGCTCCTGTGGGGAGAGTGGCTCCCGGCGAGACGAAGCACCCCCAGGCACAGCACCCCCGGGCTCAGCACCCCTAGACACAGCACCTACAGGCACGGCACCCCCAGGCTCAGCACCCCCAGGCCCAGCACCCCCAGGCACAGTACCCCCAGACTCCGCACCTCCAGGCTCAGCACCCCTAGGCACAGCACCCCAAGGCTCAGCACCCCCAGGCTCAGCACCCCCAGGCTCAGCTCCCGCAGCAGCACCAGAGTCACCAGTGACCTCGACAGGCTCGACCGCGTCTACCTGGGACACACCTGAAGGGGCAGGACCCTGAGGGGGGAGGGGGACTACCGGGGGGGGACCTGGTACCAAGAAGAGCGGGGGTGGGGGGAGGGACGGAGTGCGGTAGGGGAAGAGGCGGTAGTAGGGCACCGACTCGTCGAACGTGACGTCCTGGGAGGACAGAACACGTCGAGAGGTGGGGTGGTAGAACTGCCACCCAGGGGCGTCGGGGGGGAACCCCAGGAAGACGCAGGGAGAAGCACGAGGGGACAGCTTGTCCGCAGACAGGTCGCGAACAAACGCCCGAGATCCCCAGACCCGGAACGCCGACGCATCGCCAACCTTCCCCGTCCACAGCAGGGCTGGGGAGGTCTCCGGTCGAGAGACCCTGGGGTGGAGGTTGATCTGGTGCGCAGCGTACCTGACCGCAAACGGCCACAGAAAATGGGGAGCAGCCGCATGCATCATGGACGTACGAGCGACGTCCATGACCATGCCAATGCGGCGCTCAGCAATCCCATTTTGCTGCGGTGAGTCCGGAAGCGTGAAGGTCTGACGGATGCCTCGCACACGACAGTAGGCACTCAGGAGGCCGGAGGAGAACTCTCCACCTCTGTCCGAGTGCAGACGCAAAACAGGGAAGTCAGAGCCAAAGCTCCTCCGAAGCTGGAGACGAGCTGCGCGGATCCAGTCGATCAGCACCTCAGTGACCTCACCCTTGCTGCGCAAGGGGAAGACTGTGGTGTAACGCGAGTAGTCGTCAACCACCAGCAGGAAGTAGCGCTCCTGACCCTGTCCACGGACGCGGGCTGGGCCCCACACGTCCATGTGAAGCGTCTGCAACGGGGCCTCTGTGGGAGGAAACTGGGAGGAGTGAGGGGCAGCACGCTGGCGCCCCTCGACACAGGGGACACAGGTGGGGCCAGGGCCCGGAGGAAGGGGAGGGAGAGACCGGGGAAGACCAGACACATGGACTCGCGAGGCCATGCCTCTGAGCCGAAGCAGAGAGGGGTGGCCAAGGCGGTGGTGCCAGAGGAGGGTCTCGTGAGACAGACGACGACACGAGCAGGGGGCAGACTCAGGACCAGACCTGGACGCTGCAGCAAACACCTGACCAGACGAAGGGACCCTACCAGACTCAGCACCTGGAGGAGAAGCAGTGGTCAGTGTGTACAGGCTCGACCCTGGCCGACGTGTAAACGTAGCCAGGTGGCGACCTGTATCCTCCTCCGTGCAGTGGGTCACCCGCTGACGAGCAGGGGTGAACTGGTGGACACCCGCATCCTGGAGGTCAGCACCACTCACCAAGTTCGTCGAGAACGAGGGGAGGTAGAGACCAGTCAGGGTGCCAGAGGGGGCCGCCGGACACGGGAGGACAGTGGAGAAGCGAGCCAGGACCGGCCCCCCAGAGGGGTCAGCCAGGGACACTGCAACCGGCCGACTCAGCGGCGTGAGAGTGGTGCGGTCCCTAAAGAAGGAGCGAGACGCTCCAGAGTCAAGGGTGAAGGTGTGAGAGGCCGAAGCCGACACAGTACCTGAGAGGGCAGACTCACCAGCACCTGAGAGCACAGACGCACTGGCACCTAGAGCAGCAGCCTCACTAGTACCTGACGCGGCAGTACCAATGCCCGGGTCGGGCGGGAAAGACCGGTAACAGTCATCCTCATCACTACCAGTCACAGCATACATAGCAGAGAGAAAAGCATCAAAGTCAAGATCATAAATAGCTACTCCAGCCCTAGACAGCTCTCCCCAGCGGGGGATCTCAGCGGCCTCCGGAAACTGCTGACGCCAGGCGTCGGTCAGACGGCCAAAGCAGCGACGGGCTGTGTGGGCGCCTCCACACCTCTCCCCCGCACGGTCACCGGTGCGAAGAACGTAGGGGCAGGGACCAAGAGCACCACCGCGCTGACGCTGCAAGTACCACTCACGGAGCTGCTGAGGGCCGGGGACGGTGCGAGAGCGCTGCTGCTGCTGCGGCTGCTGCTGCTGCTGCTGCTGCTGCTGCTGGCGCTAACCACCCCCAGAGCTGCTCCTCTGGGACGAGCCACTCCGACCCCCGCCTCCACCACCACCCCCGCCTCCACCGCCACCCCCGTCTCCACCGCCACCTCCCCCACCAGGACCGTCGCTCCCACCGCTCCCACCGCCTCCTCCGCTACCACCTCCGCCGCCACCTCCGCCTCCACCGCCGCCACTAGTACCTCCACTCCCGCCACCACCTCCACTGCCACCCCCACTCCCCCCGCCACCCCCACCTCCTCCACCACTGCCTCCTCTAGATCCACCCGCTCCCTTGCCCCCCTTGCCCTTGCCAGAGCGGCGTCTGCCGCTGGGGGCAGACGCCGCACCGACCGACTCAAAACCAGCGAGGTCGGCCATAGCAGCAGAGGCGACAGAGGGCAGCAGGGGGGAAGGAGAACACCCCTCAAAGATGGGGGTGCGAGGGTCACCCCTAGAGGCCCCTACAGCGACTATACTCTTCTCAGCCGCTAGCAGGGACTCCTCAAGGAGGTCGACAGTGAGGGTGGTGGGACAGACAGAGAGAAACTGGTCCCTAACGACACGAAGGGACTCAGGAAGACGGGTGACGAGAAAGTAGAGAGTGATATACATGGGAGGAGGGTTTGCGGCGCGGAACTCAGCAGGAAGGGCAGCGCGGTAGCGAGCGTCACTAGCGCGGAGGTGGGTAACGAGGTCAGCGACAGTGGGAAAGGAAGCGAGGTCAGGGAAGAGAAACGGTAGCATGAGGCGGCTAAGGGCAGCGGAGGAAGGGGAGGAGTAGCGTGCAACTACAGCGTCGTACAAGGCCTGAGCGGTCTTGCACTGACTAAAGTGGGCACGCTCAGAGGAAGGGAGGTGGCGACGCACAGCAAGACGTGCAGCAGCATCGCGGGTCGCCCACTTGGAGCGAACGGCAGAGTCAGCATCAGCAGGCGGGGCAGGGACAGCTCCAGAGACAAAGTCAAAGAGAGAGACCTCATCTATCGCATCACACAGTAAGTACAGCTGCAGGTCTTCAATCCAGACGGCAAAGTCAATGGCCCTCCCCTCAGCGTCAAAAGTAAGAACATTGGGGGTGACCATGGCAGCAGCTGAAAGTCTCACCGGGCTGGAAGAGTCGGGTAGGTCAGCAGCAGAGGAACACAGCTCAGGGACAGCAGCACGGCTCCTCAGGTGGCTCGCGTGGCTCAGGCGGCTCGGGCGGCTCGGGCGGCTCGGGCGGCTCGGGCGACTCGGGCGGCTCGGGCGTCTCGCGCGGCTCGGGTGGCGTAGGGGCTCACGGGCGGCGCGGGCTGCTGGGGCTGCTCACGTGCAGCACGGCGGGCTGCAGCAGGGCCGGTGGTGGGCTGTAGCAGGGCCGGTGGCGGGCTGTAGCAGGGCCGGCGGCGGGCTGTAGCAGGGCCGGCGGCGGGCTGTAGCAGGGGCCGGTGGCGGCTGTAGCAGGGCCGGTGGTGGGCTGTTGCAGGGGCCGGTGGCGGCTGTAGCAGGGCCGGTGGCGGGCTGTAGCAGGGCCGGCGGCGGGCTGTAGTAGGGGCCGGTGGCGGCTGTAGCAGGGCCGGTGGCGGGCTGTAGCAGGGGCCGGTGCGGGCTGTAGTGGGGCCGACGAGGGGCCGAAGTGGGGCCTAGGCGGGCCGGCGGGCTGTAGGCGGGGCCGACGCGGCGGGCTGTAGCAGGGGCCGGTGGCGGGCCTAAGCGGGGCCAGCGCGGGGCCGACAGGGCGTAGGTGGGGCCGGCGCGGGGCCGAAGAGGGGCCTAAGTGGGGCCGACGGAGCCTACGCGGGGCCGACACGGGGCCGAGACGGGGCCTGGGCGGGGCCTACGCGGGGCCGACGAGGGGTACGCGGGGTCGACGAGGGGTACGCGGGGCCTACGCGGGGCCGACGAGGGGTACGCGGGGCCTACGCGGGGCCTACGTGGGGCCGATGAGGGGTACGCGGGGCCTACGCGGGGCCGACGAGGGGTACGCGGGGCCGACGAGGGGTACGTGGGGCCTACGCGGGGCCGACGAGGGGTACGCGGGGCCGACGAGGGGCCTAAGCAGGGGCCGACGAGGGGCCTAAGCGGGGCCGACGAGGGGCCTAAGCGGGGCCGACGAGGGGCCTAAGCGGGGCCGACGAGGGGTCTAAGCGGGGGCCGACGAGGGGCCTAAGCGGGAGCACGACGGGAGGGGCGACTCGGAGGGTCGCTAAAAAAATGCGCGCCTCGGGGCGCGCTTCGGTGGGCCCTAGGAACAGGCCCTAGGAAGGGACCTGCTCTGATTCCATGAGAAAGTACGAACGAGAAGTGGAATGACTATGAACGAAGTGAGTACAAATAGGAAACCCTAATTGGGTTGTACCCCCTATGGGATACCCCACTATAGCCTACAGAAACAAGTAAGCTATAAGTTCTGACACACCCGACTTCGAAGTCGGCTTCGCCGAAGCCGTCGTATGATGTGCTATCTGAGATGGCTGGACGAGGACTGATTGCTGTATGTTATGTACCAACTCTTTCAGGTAGCGTTTTATGCAGTTTGGAATCATCAGCCTGTCAAATGTAATGTTTTTTTAAGCGTTTGCCACCTTTTCAAACTCCCGTCTTTCCGACAAGATAAAAGAATGCAGTTGCCAATAATAATGTGACAATAACCATGCTTCTAATGATTGTTTGCGTTCACAATGAGTTTTAACGTATAAGAAAACGCGAGCAAAATTGATTATTTATGTGACTATGAGTCTTGATGTTACAAAAAAAAAAGTGAAACGGAGTATCTAGCAACGCTAGATAAGTTTGGTCGAGTGAGATAAACTACTCGACACTTTGGCTCTTTATGTCGAAATCTTTCGCTTTGCCGGACAGGGAAAAGACGGTGTGTCAGAAACAAGAAGTGTGTGAACTATGAAAAGTTGGAGTACAAGTAGCAAACCCTAGTTTTGTGTACCCCCTAAAGGCTAACCCACTATAGCCCACACAACAACACATATAGTGTTTGACACACCCCCATAGGCAAAGTGGGGGAGAGCAAGGGGTCACAAGACCAGTCAGGAAAGGCAAGTAAGCTCAGGGTGGATCACGACGTCACCACACATTCTCAGCACAAGCAAAGGGCCACATGGCCAGTTCACATGCAGAAGTATATATGTAGTACAAACTGCGGAGATAACTGCTGCAACGGGAGCTAGACTACGGGCTAGGCACGGGTGCTCGTATGATCCCAGCGTTCGTTCACTTAGTCGTTTCCTTGTGTTCACGCTTCTTGCTAGTTCACGGGGAGACTTGGCAAAAGTTTTACTAGGAAAATTTCAGAACAAAGGTACAATGAAGTTGGCATAGCATGACTACATCAGAGCAAGCATTCAGGTCAGCCAACTGCCAGCGCAGCTTGGTCGACCGCGTTCCAGCGCAGCTTGGTCGACCGCGTTCCAGCAAGGCAAGGTTGACGGCGTGCCAACGTTGCTTGCGCAGAACAGCAGTGCACCCGCTTCGTAGATGCGCGCAGATGATTGGCGTGCAGAGTCTCGTCACCTGCACAGCGCACACACCACGTCAACCTCGTGCTGACGACTGCTTCTGATTGGCCTCGTCGACCTCGGGATACCACCACCGAGGTCGGGCTTGCCAACTTCGCCTGGGCGACCGTCGCACTCCTCCGCAGCACTTCGTCACCCAGGTAATCTGGTCGACCGGGCAACCATGTCGACCAGCAGCTCCCGTACGTGCCTGTCGACCTTCCAAGTCGACGGCCACCTCCGGTCGACCTCACCAGGTCGACCACACCCTCGGTCGACCTCCTCCAGGTCGACGTCCCTTCTGGCCGACCAGCTCCACGTCGACCAGCACAGTTGTCGGCCGACCACCGAAGTCGGCTTCCCCAAGTTGACGTCACCAAGTTAAAGTCCTCCGCAGGTCGACTCCCAAGTCGACCTCTCCGAAGTCGGCGCCACCCTGAAGTCAGCGCCCGTGCAGTGGTCCCCGTGCAGGTCGACCTCCTCGTCAACCCGCTCGCCCATTGCTACAGGTCGGCTGCTCCCCTCACACCCGACCACGATGTCGGCTCCGCCCAAGCGAGGACGGGGCCAACACACAACTCCCGTTGACACTCCCCTGCCGCGTTCACGCTTGGGCCCCTAGCTCACACGGTAGTACTCCTCGGAGAAAAGCTCGTCGACGTGCACCCAACACACAGCACGCCGGTCACCGCACCAGCCATGCAAGAGGGCATGGCACCTACTGCTGCACGTTGTCGACTTCGTTGCCCACATCGGCCAAGCGCTTCTGGCTGATGGCGACGGAGCACCGGTTGAAGGCCGGATAGTGCAGCGCCTTCGTCAGGAAGTCGGCTGGCTGTTCAGCGGTCGGGATGTACTGCAGCGAGAACTTCCCGCGCTTCACCATGTGCTGCAGCCAGGCCTGTCGCCGCTCTATGTGCTTGAGGTTGCCCGTCAACCCCATGCCCTTGGCGACTGTGATAGCCGACTTGTTCTCCACTCGCAAGATAGTCGGCTTCACGGCGTCCAGCTGCCGGAACTCTGCAAGAAGGAAGCGAAGGCGGCGTCCCTCCTTGCCAGCTTCAGTGGCCGCCACGTACTCCAACTTAGTCGACGACAACGTCGCGCACTTGATGCGCTGGCTCGACCAGGAGACCGCAGCCCCTCCGTAGACGAACACGTAGCCGCCCGTGCTCGTCCTGTTCTACTTGTCACCGGCGTCATCGGCGTCCACGTAGCCGACCAGCTCCAGCGACTCATGTCCACCGCCGAACTCCAGGGCGGTGTCACGTGTGTTGGCGAGGTAGGCGAGGCAGCAATCGACCTTGCGCCAGTGCTGGTCGCTCCTCACCGTGAGGCCGCTCCCCAACTTGCTGCAGGCGAAGGCGATGTCCGGCCTTGTCGTCGTCGCCGCGAACTGCAGCGAGCCGACCTTCTGCCAGTACTCCTCCTCCTGTCGCTCCTGCGCCTCCTCATCGTCGAAGGTGAGCTCGGCGTAGGCGTTGACCGATACCGGCATCTTCGGGGTGCGCCCGGCCTGCTCCTCGTCGATGAAGCGCCTACGCAGCTTGTCGGCGTAGCCCTGCTGGTGTAGCCACAGCTTCCCCGCCGACCTGTCGTGCACGATCTCCAGCCCAAGGTACTTCTGCACACGCGAGATTACGCGCAGCTCAAAGGCGGCTTCCAGCAGCTCCTTCAGCTCATTCAGCATCAAGGCGCTGCTGCTGGCGGCAAGCAAGTCGTCGACGTAGACCAGCACCCAGCAGGACACTCCAACCTCGCCAACCTTGAAGTAAAGAGCCTCGTCGACCTGGCTCTTCTTCCACTCGGCGCCAACCAGCACATCGTTGAGCGCCAAGTACCACAACAACGGTGACTGCTTCAGCCCGTATAAGCTCTTCAACAGCTTGCACACCCGGCCGGTTGTGTCGTTGAAGTAGTCCGGCTGGGACATGTACAGCACCAGATCGAGCTTGCTCTGCAGGAAGGCATTCTTCATGTCGAGCTGCATCAGGTTGAGGTTGAGGACGGCGATGATGCTGAGGAAGATCCTCAGCGTGACGTAGCTGCTCACCGGCGCAAACGTCTCGTCGTAGTCGGCGCCGTACACCTTTGTGAAGCCCTTCACGACCAGCCTCGCCTTCTCTCGCTCGACGGTGTCGTCGATGTGGTACTTCGTCGTCAACACCCACCAGATCTTCATGACGTTCACTCCCGGCGGGCGTTCGACCAGCTCCGAAGTGTCCTCCTCCATGGCGGCCTTCACCGCCGGGCCCTTCCAGCTCGCCAGCGCCTCCTTCACCGTCATCGTCGAGATGTCCCAACGGTGCTCAGGGTCGGCTAGCATGTCGGGGTCGAGCTCTGGAAACTCCTCATCCTCCTCGGCGTCGTCGTACAGCAAGTCGCCGTCATCATCATCCACGCCGTACACCGTGGTGAAGGCAGCAGGGACGAAGAAGTCAGGCGGCCTCTGAAGTCGGCCTGAACGCCGTGGTCCCGGTTGGACCTCCTCGGCGTCCCCTCCATCGTCGCTGTCGTCGCTGCCCTCGGCGTCCTGCTGCTCCTCAGCTGGCGTCCCAGCCGACTGCTCCCCTGTGGTCGGCGTCCCAGCCG